ATATATATATATATATATTTGTACAAAACATATTTATATTATATATAATCAAAGTATAAAGTCAATGTGATTAAGAAAATACGTTAGTGTAATTGACTTTATATCTTAAACGCTTAAATTGAATGTTACGAAGCAGGTAAGGCATCAACTTTTATCTCTTCTATCCAATAAAAACCAGGCGGCTGTTACGATTTAAGAAGTAAATGTGATGAGAGGAGGAGATGAGGGTGAAAGTAATGATGTGAAAATGCGATATGTTCGTAATATCGGGCGTATTTTTAGTAAATTTTATATTGGATAAATCTTTAGAAAAGCAAATTGTAAAAAGATATTGCAGTGATCTATTAACACCATTAATATTGAAAATGATTTAACGATATATACAAGAGAAAAAAAAAAAAAAAAGAAGAAAAAAACGAAAGAAAGAAAGAAAGAAAAAAAGTAAACGAAAAAAATGTAAATGACGGTAGTAAAGAAGGAAGAAAAAAATTCATGATCGTAAAAATACATAATAGCTTTTTACTATAAATTTAGACGATAAATATTACTTAATTATATTCAAGTACAATAAATATTCCATAAATTTATAACATTTTTATTTAGTGATAAGTTATGTTAGTTTCAAAGAGTACCGCTTAGTGTTAAAGCAACAAAAAAAAAAAAAAAAAAAAAAAAAAAGAAGAAAAGAAAAAAAGAAAATTTGAATTTTTGTGTACACATACTTTATTATTGATGGAATTTAATTATTTTATAACGGTCATTATCAATGGTTTATTAGCTAGGTTAAAGTAGTTAATGGCCTATGTGAAATATACTTCATTGTCTATAATATGCTTTTCGCACCTAATTCAAGAAAAATTTTTTTTTTGACTATCTATTCATCTATTTATGGGATGTTAGATTTAACTAAAAATTATTTACAAATTGTGTACTGTAAGAACTGTTTATATGTTACAGATAATAAACATCATTTTTATAATATAACTATTTTTCATTACACATCATGCATGTAACGGATTATACATATATATATATATATATATATATATATATATATATATACTTTTTTTTTAATAAAACTGTTATTCATTGGACCTCATGAAGGAACTGATTAATGGCTCTACTAAATTTTTCTAAGTATTTAAGAATGTTCTTATCGGATCAATAAGTAATAATGAATTTTCTAAATATATGAAGACTGTGATGCTAAATAGATTTTTAAATCTTAAAATGGTGTATAAATCATTATAAATAAAATGTTTTTTATTAAGGTCAAGCCAATATAGTATGGTCAAGTATATTATGGAAATATCCTATTCAATCAATAGAATAATTATATGTAATCGTCTACGATTACTTTAAAATACTTTAGATTCTATTTCATTAAAAAAAATTTATGTATTGTAAACATTTGTGTTTATATGATATAATGATACCAAGAAGTAACGTAACGTGAACGTAACGTCAAGTATTTAATTGCGTATATATAAATACGTATATTTTCGTACCAATAATTTATTCACAGTTTACTTGTAATTATACTTATAAATTCCAAAAAACTATTTATATCCGATAGTTGTTGACAATATTAAAAAAATAAATAAAAAAACTCTAATAGTTAGATTAATTTACAATATACTATTTGATTATACTATTTCAGACAGTCAAGTGAACAATTATATTATATATTTCATTCGTATTAAATTGAATAAAATAAAGATTTTGCTTTATAATATGCGCGCGCGCGCGCACACACACACACACACACACACCAAATATATATACACACTAAATATATATATATATATATATATATAAGAAGATAAGTTAGAAATTAAATAGTATGTTGTGTTCGACTATTATCTTTTGAAATATAAAAATGTACACACTTCATTTGCATTATCATTAATTGTGTCATTTATTATCATTAAATAGATTTGTTTATTATTAATTTACTTTGTGACTCTTACTATTATTATACTTTTCTTATATTTTCTAATTATTATATTACATTTATTATATTATATTTTATAATTGACATTATTTTCGAATATTCATTCGAATATATTATCTCGAAATTTAAGGAAATGGACCTTTGATGCACCTATATCTGGCTACTAGTATTTTTCTACACGAGGTGAAAATATTTGCCGTGGCTTGATGAACATAAAAGGGAAACGATTGAAATTATCATTTATTTTCGCTCTGTTATAATGATCAGACATTTGATTTATCAACATGACGTAGCACTGAAATGAAGTGTTGGATGTGATGAGTAATAATGCTTGCCTGGATCACTGAGAATATTCGTATATCTGTTCACTACTCGCATACCTGTAAATGTATTCTGCATATTTTGAAATATTTTATTATTGAATCAAGAATTTTCAAGGGATACGTATAGAACGCAATTTAAAGGTGTAAGCAAAAAGGTTTCGCTTGCGATCAATATAGGAGGGACTTTTGTTTATACAAGTAGCTAATGAAGTCACAGCTTTTAATAAAAATCCAAGGCTTTTCATCACAAATGCATTGACGATGATCGAACAAAGATTATATGCTCACACGGTTTATTATTAAAAATAGATGAAAGGATACGACCGGAGTTGAAAAGTTGGTCAAATTGACAGTCGCAGTTTTTTCGTTTTACCATATAAGACATAAAATGATAACAAAATTTACAAAGACAGTCGCGTGTCAATCATGAAAACATAAGCATTGCTGCCAAATATTGATTATTAGTCAAGCGAAGAAAAAATATTTTTCAATTATTGTGCACATTTACTCGTTAAAAATATATCGGAAATTATAAATTTTTATTTTATTTCATTTATAAAAATATTGACCTTGAATATCTTTTACATGAAAAATGGCGTAGTGAAAATATGCATGTTTGCACAACCTGTCTTATACGTGTGGGCTCGTATGTGTGTTTAGCCATAGCTCCATAAGTAAGAATTTAACCTGTGATTTTACTTAATTTACAGTTTAAACTTTGAATTTATTATACAAAGTGACTGATATAATGATACAGCCTTACAAAAATAATACCTCTTTGAAATTCAATTTCAACCTATAGAGTTTGCAGAGAATCCAATGCAATTACAATCTCTGCAGTAATAGAAAATCTAGTATTTATATTATTTTTATTTTAAAAAAAGTTTGTCACAATGCAGTAGTTAGAGTACTTAATTAGCGGTACATTAAATTTACAAGGATTGGATGAAGAACCTCAAAATGCGAGTGACGAGCTTCAACAATTTCTGCTTACTTTTGCTTTTCTCTACATTTAGAGGAACTAACTTATTCCCAAGGCAGTGCAGCTGTCGAATATCTGTCAAAGAGTCATTGCGCACTGACGTCATAGTCATACACTATTGCACACTAAAAGTAACAAGCGGATGCGTAATAAAGCAGAATCAACCCTCTCGAGGAAATATTCGGTTGCAAGCTTTCTCTGTCTCTCTCTCTCTCTCTCTCTCTCTCTCTCTCTCTCTCTCTCTCTCTCTCTCTCTTTCTCACCGTATGTGTCTCATTCTTTATATCATTAGGTAATTGCGACCATTGTTGCGAATGGAAATAGAGAAAGTCATGATAAATGCAAGCACAACGTCGAGATTTGTACTTGCCACTTGCCAATAATAATATGCTATTTTCAATAGATTAGCAACGATTAGCAAATGGCTATGCTTAAACGAGTGATTTTCGTTGAGAGAATAAATAATTTTTTAACAATGATAAAATAAGTAAAATCACATTTATGACTATTAAAATTCTGTTAAAATTCTATTAAAATACACATACTCTCACTTATATTGATTCTGATATTATTATTAACTCGATTATTATTAACACTCATAAGATTTTATCGACATATACATCGACTAATCATAATCTCTACATAGACATATTCGTATAAATGGCGCATTCCATTGACAAAAAACAACTTGTGAAAAATTAATGTAAGACATTGTTATATGTCAATTTAATAGCTAAAAATATATGGAAGATATTTATTGTGCCGTTTTGTAAATTTTATTGCTGCTTATTCAACGTAATCGTAAATATGTCAACAACAATATGATGCATTTATCAGTCAACATGATGCGCGTTGCGCAAAAGTAGTTAGATGAGTATTGAAATAATCTTATAATCATTTATGAATTGTGGTGTAAAGAAACGAAATAATTTCATTGAAATTTCATATAATCATTATTTTTTAAAATTTTTCATTATACTCTTACACACTAGATTACATGAATCGTAATATTATATATTAATTCGTATTTATAATGCGTTCTTTATCATTAACATTCAAAATCGATAATTTTTTAAGTTGATTAAAATCCAAAAATCTATGGAATACAAGAGTTAACTTAGCGTTGAAAAATTAAATTCATTGACATATAATAATTATATTCGTATTGTTTTTCGTCATATATGCACAGTTATTTACTTTTTTTTCTTTTAATGTTTTATAAATATTCATTTTATAAGCATATATACGTTTAACGATTTTTACTAATTGGATTAACTGAAAAAAAAAAAGAACAATAATATCATTTATAAAATTATTTTTAAACTTACATAAATTATAATAATTTAAAAATATTTAAATTACTATGTTGTTTTTTTGTGGTAATAAATTAAATATATGAACTATTAGATTTTTATTTATGAAAATTAAAAAATTTCAAAAAACGTGATAGAATAAATCACTTTTGAAAAACTAATAATAAAATTAATAATAACTGAAATAAGCTTAAGAATAGTTTATATAATTTTAATTTATTTAATAGTACATCAGCGTTCATGAAAGTGACTATAGATAAGTTTGCCAAGACAAAGTCTCATTACAATTGACTGGATCCATAATGACTGGCGAAATTTCAATGTCTAGACCGTACATTGTGAACATGCATATACGTACAAAGTAAGAAGAAACGAGAGAGAAAGAGAACAGTCCATGCGACCGACCAAAAGATTGTCGAGTGGCGGTCTTAATGTTTGGCCTTGAAGGTGTTGCGCAGGCCGGGTTTGTTACTCTGCATACTGTTGCACTTGGGTATGTGGCGGCTGGCCACCGTCTGGCTGAAGCGTCTCGAGCAGTGCGGGCACTTGACGTAGTCACTGTTGTCGCTCGGGGGCGAGATCGCAAGGTCACTAAGCTTGCCACCGCTCGCCAGGTGGACCTGCATCTGTTTTGCCGAGCGTATGGCGTTTATGAAATCCTCGTGCTTTCGCCGCCAGTTGGATTTCACGATATGCGGTTCGGGCTCAACGCGCGAGACCGACTTAATCTGAAATAACAAGGTTCGAATTATTATTAGCGAATCTTGTGGCTCTCGTTCGTTCATTGGATTGGCTGAACGAGGTGAGATGTTGGGATGGTGGGATGGCGGGATCGCGGGATGGTGGGGTAGTGGGGTAGTGGGGTAGTGGGGTAGTGGGGTCGAAGAGCAAGAACTACGGCATATTAGCATTTCTTCATAAATCACTTGTATGACCAATGAGCGTATTATAAATTACGTGCCGAGTTACGTTTCTTTATGTATCTTCCAGTATATAAATAATCGTTATGAATATATATTGTACTCAAACACCAAAAGTTATTATTGATTGGACTATCGAGTAATACGTCGTCTCCTAACTGCTTTTCTAAAAGTATAGAGTATAGTATAGCGTGTATATATATATATATATATATACATAATATGTGTGTGTGTGTGTGTGTATATATATACATAATTCGCCTCATTTAATTTGCTTCATCATATATACTTAATTTACATTGGACTCACAATTAAACAACATATTTAAATTATATATTGCCAATTGCTGATTGTAATTTAATATTACCGTTAAATCATTGTATTCTACGTAAAAATTATTCGAATTTATTATTTACAAATTGTATTAACATAAAAACTAATTTACAGTACACAAGGAAAAGAATAAATTTTTAACAATGCCTTTCAATTGTAGTTTTTAATTACATTGAGTTATATTTATTTATGACTAGGCACGCAAATTAGCTTATGACACTATTTCAAATAAATTACATTCATTATGGTTATGAAATTTAAATGTTCAATTATTTAGAAATAATTATCATTATTTATTTAAAGATGTAATTTTTATTTACGACAAAAATGATGTACTTCACAAATTTCCGTAAGTGATATTTTATTATATAACAAATATCGAATTACCGCTATTTAAATATTCAATTTAAAAGGACTTTTTAAATTTTGCATCTACAAATAAGTCTGTCATAATAAGAAATATGTGCCTGTGATTATACTATCAACCACTGAATTATAATATTTCACGAGTAAAATTTTGTATTAGAAGGAAGTCTTAATATTCTATGTTCATTCGTTAGAAAACAAGGTGAATAACAAGATTTCTCACCTAAAACGGCCCTTGTTACATAGCGATAACAACAGCATTTGAATACGCGCGATGAATGTAATTAAGTGATCGCATTAGGTCCTTGCGTTAACTCTCCTAGCATAAAAAGCCGAACTCAACAGCATCTACTACATATACTTGTACATGATACACTGAGCAGTGAGAAAGGAGGATTAAGCTAGAGAAAGACAAAGAGAGTGAACAGGCCAAAAACAGCGGTATACATAAGTTCCGCGACTGTACTCGCGCATGAATTATACGCACACGTGAGATTGTACCTAGATTTTGTTTATTCGTACCTATAGGCCTTCACTCACCTTTTCTTTCTTTTTTTCTTTTTCTTTTTTCTTTTCCTCTCCTATCCGAATCACGCGGGCATTACGGTTGGCGCACGGAAGCTGGACCGTTAAGACGTATTTATTAAGGCGTTAATTAAGTCAAATCGCAATGCTAAGATAGCAAGTATACACCGGAAACAAGTTTATAAATGATGATATTTGCCAAGATGTGTTTTTGATGACGTCTCTATGGCAGTCAATTTTTCATTTTTCCTTATACTAATATATTGTAACGGATAGAGATGAGTGGTATGATTAATGTAAATCAAGCACACGATTATAATCATCCACGCCAGATCATTAGATTCTGATAGGTTTTAAAGTAATGTAATACTAATGTCCAAATAGATTTTTCAAATCTTAAAAGATAAATTTTCTATATTAGTTACATTTTCAATATTATATTATTTCAATATATATAATTTATTTACATTTGTGAATTAAGATTGTAAAATAATATTTACATATATATCACATACCTTGCAACAAAATCTCACACTTAGCATGAATAGGATTGATAAGTGTACGTACGCCGACGTGTGCGAACAGTTCTTGCAGGTACATACACGTCGTAGCGGATGTTGTTGAGCGCGCGCGCGTGCGTGCGTGCGCGGTGTGAATAGCGCGGGAGGGAAGGGGGAAGGTTCACCAAGCTTCTTCATTCGCACCGGCGCTGTCAATTTTAGCTGTTTTCCCTAAAGCGGCTAGAAGTTATTGGCGACTCGTATTGGTTTCCTCACCAAATCCACCATACTTTATACTTAATTATATAGTATTAAATTACTTACAACTTTGTCTATATCTATATATATATATATATATATATACGTATAACCAATACCAACTGCCCGGAATATTTCTCAACTATTCATAGTTCAATTACATTGATGTCTATAAACAAAAAGAGCACTTAGATAATTTATAAAAACTTTAAAATTTATTAATTAACGACCACGTACGTGAACAATAACAATATAAATGAAAAAAAATTTATTTTTCTTGCGTAGAAATGATATTTTAAGTGTTTTTCTTTAAATATTTTTTCTTTGACGAATCATACTTATAAACATTTTAAATATTATATATTGATATATACGGTATTATTTAACGGTAAACATTTTAAATGCGAACATTTTAACTTTTAACGTTTACCCATGATGTAAAAGAATATTTTACGAACAAATTGTCATGCATTAATTAAGGATTAAAGGCGTTCGTACAAAACACATTCTTCACTAATCCTTTGAGCGATTTTGTTCTTCTTAAATTTCCTTCTAATTGGCCAAATATTCTTAAGATTTCTAATATTTTAATACAGTTTATTTTTTAATTATTTAATTATTTTTTAATTATGTAGATTTTACGAATGATAATTATTCTAAAGTAAACATTTGATTTATTTTACATTTTCTTTGAAGTACTTGTAATTGTTGTTCTACCGTTAATTTTTATTGAGCTTAGTATTTAAATAAAAAATTTAGTTATTATACTGTTAAACGCAATTGCCTTAATATTTTGTTACATTTTACGATTAATATTAAAACCTACTTTTTATATAAATATGTGTATAGCTTTATATTTTTACGCGCGTATGCTCGTGTATATTTTATATAACTCTCTTGTTCTTATTATTTTTAACAATTATTATCTTATAATTATAATGTTCAACCATTCTTCTTATATTAATAGTAGAATTTTATGAATAATTATTATATTTACGTTGAAACGTTTATGTCTTTATTATTTAATCATTATTTACAATTCATTATAATGATAGTATATATAATAATATTATATATATATATATATATATATATATATATAAATAAATAAATATATATAAATAAAATAATACTATATACTATTATATAATGATAATATAGAATAAATATTGGTTGTATAATATATTTTTTCTTCCAAATTTCAGATTACAAATAACTACATTCTTACATATATTTTTAAATTTATTCTCGTTTCTATTTTAAAAGTTTTCCTTAACACTAATAAAATTAAAAAAATATTGAAAAACGGAATCGCTTAGCATTATGTAGCTAATAAATACTAAAAATGGTTTGATCTCATTTTACGTCTTATCGATAAGTGAAAGTCAAAGATGATAATCTTTACTAAGTGAAGTCTTAAAGTGTTTCACGAAGTTTTAAATGCTTATTTACAGAATATTCAACTATTGATTTTGTATAAATTGAATATACCATTTGTACGAACTTTTATGTGAACAAATCTTATGATGAAAATATTCAATCGACGATCTAAAAAGAAAGAAGCAATTGAATTTGTTTCATGAAAAACTCTATAACATACTATATAACTATTTCATTTATTAGAAAAAGTGAATTAACAAATTTAATTCATATATATATATATATATATATATATATATATATAATTAATAGTAAAAAGGTAAAGTGTATTTATTTTAATTATAAAAATACTAATGATAGCATAGATTGAAAACATACTTATTTAATTCTATATTTATTAATTATAGATTTTAGTTATATCAATTTTTTATTACAATAGTTTATAATTTGTAATGAGAGTTGTTGAGAAAGTACATCGTGTATTTTATAATTATATTGACTATTAATATCTTTCAAATTTTATGTTTTCAAATTTTAAATCAAATATGTATTTGTATATTAATAATTAGACATCAATTATAAAATCTAACAAATATTGATGGTTAATAGTTATCATTATTGATTATAATATTTCTAGAATACCATACTAATATTACATTTGAATTATTATATTGATAAGTTATTATTTTAAATTTAGGGATAGTAAGTAATTGAGTTAGTTTTATTGAATATTTAATTTCGAATATCATGATCGATGATTGACGCCATTTCAATTATGAATAATGAGAGACAATTACTTATTGTGTATTACGATATAATAACTGAAAAGGAAAATACTAAACAATATCAATTAAATTTTTTAATGAATCAACAAGTGAACGAAGTTGCAAAAGCTCTTCAAGTAAATTGTTATTGCAAAAATTTAATAATATTTTCAAATGATAATATTGGTAAACTTATCGTTAAAATGTAACAGCGGGCTTATTAAGTAAGATTAATTTATTATTTTATATAAGGTAATAAAGTACTACTGACAACAATTAAATCTGCACATTTATTTGTATAAAAATAAGATTGTCGAACCATAAAGATCGTAAAGATAAAATAACATAGCAGATATTTGTCGATGTAGTTTCATGTCGTATAGACATCGTTATAAATTCCTTTTTTTATATAAAATAAGTTATAATTTTAAAAAACCTAGAAACAGCAGTTTACTTCTTTTTTTTTTTTTTTTTTTTTTCTTTTCTTTTCAATAATATATATATATCTAATTTAATTGCTGAATGGAATAGTAAGTAAAATTAATGCTCTGGTAGTTCTTATTAAAATCTCCCAAATCAATTCATATCTCCTATATCTTGTTATTTTGTTTTCATGAATTTTTATCATTTTATGTTTACGTTCATCAAGAACCCGTATTATTTTAAAAATAATTTATCATCGGGATAATGAATAACGAGCGAATGCTCGAATTTATCTATTTTTAAGCCGATATAGATATCACTGACGGGAAACCTGATGCAAATCAGTTGGCCCGTATTTCTATAGATCGCAGAAGTCATAAAGAACGGCTCCTACCAACCGAATGAATTGATTCAAATTGCCTCCCATAGCTTATTAGTAGCTACATTTAAAAAATGTAAATGTACTTTGTGGTTAAACTGATAGGAAAACAACCTTTCAATTTGAAACAAAATCATTTTGACACTTTGGACGTTATAATTCGCACATTATTTTATGTAACAATTTATTATTTTTAGTTGCAGACGATCCTCTACGATACATACATAAATGCATATGTATGTTGTACTTTTGCATATTTACCAAATAAATTTGTCTCTCCACCCTATATAAATTTATTATATCTTATTGGATATTCGTTATGCTTATTATAGTTTTATTAGAATGTAGGCGTTTCATAGTTGCTCATTGCCCACGCAATATTATATATTCAAAAATTTATTTTGAAAGTTTTATATAATTATCAATAGTACATATGTTGTAATTATTGAAAACATATTACGAGTCAATTGTAATTATGCAAATGAAATGAAATGAAATAATTTCGGGATGTGAACAATATATTAAATTTTGAATTTTGAATCAGTCATTCCTTATGAAATTATATATCATTTGAGTTCATTTAACTTATACTTTAATTAAATTTCATTTTATAATATAACATTTGATATATATATATATATATATATA